GTTCAATCTTGTGTTCTTTACACTGAATATTAGGTATGATAGGATTAACTTGACGATTGAAGAAAGTCCAATATGTTTTATCATAGTTGATTGGTTGTTTCCACTTGTTGGAATATGTTATCAATCGTCTTAGTATCTGTACTAGTTGTCTTCTTAGTGATTTGATCATTTTCTTTGATGACAGTGCTGATGATGGTGCAATAAGTACCGCCAAATCATCTGCATATAAATGCTTCCAATGAATTGTCGACAGTGCTTCAAGTAAATCATGATGGTATACAATGAATAATACAGGACCTATACAGCTCCCTTGTGGAACGCCTTTCTTGAGATCAAAAGTAGATGAAGTTGTATTTTTAATGTCGATGTAAGCTTTCCTACCATACAAGTAATGTTTCAGCCAGGCTATTATATACAATGGACAATGTAATTTGTTCAGCTTTAACCATAATCCATTAAACCATAACTGGTTAAAAGCAGAACTGAAGTTCACAAAAGGTCCTGCTGCTGCTGTATTCATTGACAGACTTTGGCCAATTTGATCGATCATAGCTATCAGACGCACAGACATGTTGTGTTTTGGTCTAAAACCTGTTTTTTCTGCTGGAAGTATTGCAAAATCATCTATCCAACTACGAAATTGTATCAAAAAACATTTTTCAAATAATTTGGAAAAACATGGTAATAAAGAAATTGGTCTTGTTTTATCTATAGATGTTATCTTAGATTTTGTTTTGGATAACAATATCATTCTTGCAATATGCCAGTGTGTGGGTGTTTGTAGAGTAGAGGCAAAATTATTCATGCATGCCAAAACGATTGATACATGATTTGGTGGAAGTATCTTGATGATTCTATTTGAAACTCCATCTATACCTGATGAGTTTTTCTTTTTCATTGATGTAATGATCCTGTATAGTTGTTGATAAGTAATATTCATCGGATTAGGAGGACTGTTAATCAGGATTTCATTGAGTTCGTTCACATTTATCCTTGCTTCAATATCGATATCTGTTTTTGTATCTTGATGATCAGTAAATTGTTCTTCGTAATAATTTTTTGCAACAGCACACATTTCATCTGGTGAGGTAATGGTGTTGTTGTTAATAACAAAACCTTCAACTGGTGTAGATTTTGAACGGAAATGTCGTTTTGCCTTTTGCCAAAAAGATTTTGTATCACAGTCATTGAATGAACCACAATAGTCGAGCCATAATTTTCTTTTATATTGAAAAAGTGTTTTTTGTACTAGTTTCGATATATCACGTAACATTATTGCATAATATGGATGATAGGTTCTTCGAAATAATTTTAAATACATATGTTTTTTATTAATTAAAAGTATAACATTTTGTGGTAAAGTTGGTTTGAACGACTTTCTGAATGTAACATTGGTAAAACGTGATATACTCAACAATAGAAATCTCTCGTAGAGTGTGAAAAAAGTAGTTGAATGAGCCATATCTTCTGCAAGTTTATTCCAATAACTACCGGTAAACGTAAGAAAAACTTCAAATAATTTCCAGTGAGTTCGTTTAATTGGATATTTTTGATGTGCAGTAGATATTTTAATTGTAGAGCGTCAAATAACTGGATGATGATCACTACCAATGGATGGCAAAACTGAAAAAGTATCTGATGCCATATGTGACGGTGCAATAATTAGATCAATTGTTGCCTTTGACCGAGTAGACGTTGGAATAAATTTATTAATAATTTCCATTGTTGCATGTGTTGGTGATGAGGATAACCAATTAAATAATGTTTTTCCTTTTGGATTTTCCACCGAGCGAGACCAAGAATTGTGTTTAGCATTTAGGTCTCCGGTGAAGATAGTATTTTCATTTTTTTTGTAATATTCGATCAAAAATTTCAAAAGGAATTTGTTCATGTGGTGGTGAATAACATGTGACTAATTGAAATTTATTTTGTTCTTCACCTATTTCTAGCGCAATCAAGTTCGGTATATTCTCGAACTCAACCATTCTTTGAGTACGAATTGATTTATGTATAGCAACTAAAACACCTCCAAAAGCATTTGTACCATTGATCGAGAAGACATTATAGTTAAAGAAGTGTTTCGTAAACTGTTTAGTCGATCTTTCATCATGATGTGTTCCATTTAATGTAATAATTGATGGAGAAGTAGTATCAATAAGTTTAAAGATCTCTACCATATGACGATTTAAGCTGGAGACATTTAGTAAAAGTATTGAAATATTATCTTTAATATTTAACATCGATAAAGTTTTATCACGATAAATTGACCATTTGTCTAACAAGAGATCAAGTGTTGGAGTATTTGTCCATTCTTCAAAAATCATTTTAAAAGTGTTTTCTTCATGTTTCGTAAGTTGATTAACATTGATAAGAAATGGTTTCTTTTGTTTCGGATTAAATACTGCTGCTGTTGGATTCATTGGGGGACGATCTATATAGTATAGGATCATCTATTTGATTTTTATCTTCTGATTTCTTTTCTATTGTTTTCATTGTTTCTTCATACCGTTGTTTAAACTTTTTAATATTTGGATGTAATTTTTCTGTTTGATCCTTCTTTCCGAAATTCATTACAGCATTACTTAAATTTATAAGAAATGGACATACATCTTTCATTACAAAGTTGTTAAGTAAATCAATGTCATTTTGACATGACTTTATCAAATGGTATGCATTTGAAATATTTGAATTTAATTTTGCTTGATCTTGTGCGAGTTTGTCTAGAATGTTAACTATTTGATTCAATTTCATATTCATTTCATCTAACAAGTCTGGACGTTCAGTTGCTTTTTCATTTTGAATTGTAGTATAAGTTGGTGTTTGTAAAGCTTCTTTAGCAGCATTATTAAACCATACATTCTGAGTTTCACGAGATTTTTCTTGTAAAAATAATTTGTTGTTGTTGTAGTTAATATTTTTGTTCGATATCATATTCTTTGACAGCTGCTGTTGCTTTCTGCGTTCTTCTACTTTGATTGGACAATTTGGATTACCTGCCATATGACCTTGACCACAATTAGCACAACAGATATCATTTTGACAATTTGGATTGTACGGATGGTTTGATCCACAGCGGAAACATTTAGGTTTGTCTTTATAAGGACAATTAACTGCAATGTGGTCGTTGTATACTTGACAGTTAAAGCATCGTAATATTTTTGTTGGTGGAGAGTACGGTTGTACCATGAACGATGTGTTTTCATCATCAAGTAGTAGACGCTTGCTTTGTATAATTTTCTTTACTTCTTGATTTGTTGAAAAATCGATTCTAACTTTAGATATTGGAATACCACCTTTAACATAGAGTCGTTCTACTTTGATTATTGTAGGATATTGCTTTTTAATATCCGATTCAAAAAGACTCATATCCCATTGTGCAGGAACACCAGTAGCAACAATTGAGTACGCCATTGGTACTTTAACAGGAAACGAAATTTCATAATCAGAAGAGCATATCTGGATTGGCCATGATATTTTATCCATTAATTGATCGAATTGTTCACTAGTATTTGCATAAATAAGAAAACATTTTTTATTACCATTAGATGAGTACCGACCATAAGAGAGACCGATGCGGAAATGCTTATTCATATCTTTAATGATTGATAATTCCGACGGCCAACTATTACCGGTAAAGTTTATACGAAAAGGTGGAAACGTTGATCTGGAGATGGTTACGCTAAGATGATTATGTTCAGAAGAAGATGTCGTAACATTTTGTTGTTGATGCTGTTGATTTGTTCGAGGAACAGTGCTGTTGAAGTATTGGTTACGTGCATTGACCATACGATGTTCTTGTTCGAATGAACCATCACCTTGTTTTGATCTTTTCGATGCACTACGTGTGGTGTTATGTTGGGGAGTTTTTTGCCAGATCTGTTATTGGATCTGTAACCTCTTTCATTTGATTG